AAAAAAAAAAAACTACAGATAAGAAGAGCAAAAAAATTGGACAAGATTAGAAAGATAAAAATTACTTCGCTACCAGAGTTACTACCTTTACCTTCCAAGTAAAAAACAAAAACAAAAAAAGATAGTTAGTAAACAAAAAACAAAGAATATCTTATTATTTATTTAAATGACTTTCAAATTGACAAATCTATTGATCACAAATGTACAAACACACAATAGTCTTACCTCTTTAATTAGAAGCTTAAAAACAGAAGGCACTTTCACAGCAATTTCATTTATTCCATAAAGCAATTTTCTATAACAGGAAAATATAATAATAGTATATTATATTGTATAATAGTAGTATAATATAGGGAAGGCATTTCGTGAGAAAAGATTCAAATCCCAGACTGCCCTTAAATCTGGAACTTACACATTCACATCTCTAAATACTTGTCTTCTACAATGCAAATTCTCTACCAGATTTACATCAAAGTAGTCAATACTGGATAACTATATTGTTATAATTTCTTTCATAGTGTGTCATACCTTTTATATAAGTATCTTTTCCACTAGTCTATAATAACCACGTCAGCAAAAGCTTTCTTTTTCCATCCTTTAACATAACAGGTCTCAGCAATTTTGGACTGCAATTAATTTTTGCAAGACTAATTAAATAAATAAGTTTGAGGGGTCCTGTATTATTTTTCTAATAAGAATACTACACTAAGAATGTTTATTTCAAAACATTGTACATTTGACTTTCTTTAAAAATGCTTAAGTTGCTTAAATCCTTCCAGTTAAATTCCTTATAACAGCACTTTCTACATGCTAGAGTAATTCTTGCCTCCTATTATGTCTGAATGAATGAATTTTTTATATTCTAACCCTTTGAAAAAAACATGGGAGTAGAAGAAAATTTCTAATTTATTTTGAAAACGGCATTTATCTTTAAAATATAAAATACACTCATATAAGCAAATAACACGTTAAAAAAGATCATGTCTCCCAATTTACAAATTATCTTTGTGCTAAATTTGAGCTCATGCTTTTAATTCTCAATATATTTCAGAAAATCTAAGATGTGATCAATTATAAGACATACCCATTATTTTATGTATCATCAAGAAAGATAAAAATGCTGTCAAGTAAAGGATGACACTCCATCTACTGTATCATACATTTTCCTTTTAGAGATGTTTAGATGTGGAAAAATGGGCACCTTAGAATTGATGAAATACAGTATACTTTCAGGGACATCAACTTCAAAATACCAACTTCAACATTTTTATAATTCTTAAATTCAAGTAACACCAGGAAGTCTTACCCAAATAAAGTATCAGCAAGTTGTCTACGGTGTCTCTAATATTTAAATACCTGTTACTATGTACAACTCTATAGTAAGAGGGTAAACTGTATATACTACTTTATTTAGGAATTTTGTAACAGATCTAACTTTAGTTGGATTAAAAATTACCTGTAGGCATGCATCCCCTTTGTCAGTCCTGCACTATGCTTTTCATAAATTGACGTACAAGAAACACCTTCATCCAGTCCCCTAAATAAATCCAAAGTTTTTACTTTAAACAAAGTTTAAAATATCCAAATTTCTTAATGCCTCATTTTTCTATATTCCTAATTGTAAAGTGAGACTTCCTTACAAATAGAAACCCTTTAACAAAAATGGAGATAATGAATGAGTTTTTAAATCTCAAGTTCCTAGGATAAACAACAATGAAAGGTCTCAGTCTCAAACATGGCAACTTCAAAGTTATCCAATGTATCTATCACATGACAAGATGGCTCTATACTCGTTTATATATTATCCTTCAAGACTGTGCCAAAGTTGTAAGAGCTAAAAGTGAAACTAGTAAAATTAAAGGTAAAGTAAAACTAGCTTAAAATTCCAACTAAAAATGAAAAACTTTACTTTTCACGTATATAGTTTCCCCTCTAAACTTTTTTAAGCTTCACACTAAGAAATCTTATTCATTTATTTTCTTTCCACAAAATCACAATCCATATCCTTTCCTGATCTAATACATACCCAGGATTTACATGATACAACGTCTGAAATCTATAGCAATTCTAACTGGGTTTGACCAACATAGCTATTTTCCCCCCCAAATGTCTTAGTTATGCTTATTTCAACTAATACAGTAGTCACAAACCTCTAAAAGAATCTTACACATCAGTTAACTCCAATCCTTTTCCACTTTTCTTAGGAAAACTAAGCTCCATAATTAGCTGCTACCATTGGGATAAGTTTAAACTCTGTAAGTTTCCATGGTTGGCAAAAACCACATAGCAAATATGTCTCACATTTTTTTCCCACTGAAGCAGATGACTTCTCCAAAGGCAGCGGGGATCAGCTCCAAGTCATTTTTTAAAAACAAAATAGCAACTAAATGGCAGTATTCTATAAGGCAATGATTCTTAACTAGGAATGGTCTTCGAAAATAGCCATGTGGAAGTGCCCTGGTCCATTCCAGAATATTCCAACTGTTTAGTGTTTAAAATATTCATCTATGAATATTTTAAATGTTCATAAGGTGATTCTCTTTGTATTGCTAATATTTAGAATTCATTTGGCACTCTCAGGTAATGACACTTAATATTTATAATAATCACTTTAACAACAGCAATAAAAATAGAGTGCTAATTTAATACTTAAATAACTTAAGCATCCACAAAAGATAAATTTTAAGGGATTACTCCAGTTTGCCCCACCCAAAGCTTAACACATTTGACAATGTCTCATCTTTATAGACATAATTCAGATACTTGGGACAAGGATATTCAGATACTTTCTAAATCCTCAAAAAGAAAAGGACTCAGACTCAGAGTGGATTAGGGGATTCATATTGCTTACAACTTCAATGTAAAATTTTCTAAGGTATAAGTTGCAGGTGAGATTTATTCTAAAATGAGTAATGAGTATTCAAGTAACACCAGGAAATTGTTAATAAATGAAAAGTTATGCAGTAAGTACCTCTTCAATTTTACATAACACTAGAATAAAAACTAGAACATTTTCAAAACACTCATAATACAAACAAAAAGAAAGCACTTACTTTAAGAAATCAAAATTGTGAAGGGTATCATTCCAGAAGTATTTTACACTATAGTGGGTGAAATAGCGAATCTGTAGAACACACATAAACGTTACATCAGAAACCATTTACCATGACTTGTTAACAATGAATTTTACTAACACAAATCAATCATAATGTAGCAACATGCTAAAATAAGTGATCACATGTAATGTTTTTTCTAGCAATGCCTAAACTGCATTATACAGAGTAATAAACAGGTATTTTGTACACTTATAAATTTATCTCAACAAAAATAACTTCAAACACAAAATTATAGGCTCTCCTCCATGATAGCATAAAATTTTAACAACTCTGGTTTTTAAAAAAACTTTGAAACTAAATCCACAATACCTGCTGTGACTGAATCTGTGAATATTTATTCATCCCATGCCTGTTCTCCTCAGTCAGATTTTCAGTTAAGTGGACAGCATGGCCATTTGAAACCTTATTACCTGTAGATTTTGGACTCAAAAACAAGTGGCCTTCCAGAGAAAGAAAGCGAATTTTTGCACAAAACCACATTCTGAATTCATCCTTAGAAGAAAGGGATAAAGAGTCGATTATGTATACTATATAACTGCCTATATTTTATTTGATTCCCATTCTTTACATTATTTACTCAGCTTTAATTGAAAAAGTGTTACTTCCTACTCACTAAATATTAAACCATTTCATGAAGATGCATAAATTCAAACAAGAAGTGCCTTCCATTGCTTACCATTTTATATGACATACTTCACTGATACAATATAAAAAATCATGGGTAATTTCTTAATTTGCCCACCAACATACCATGATTAGATATTAAAGCCTCTTATAAAATGCTTCCAACTATGATCTGGGATGCAGCAGTATCATACAGTAGAAAGACAGCTGCTCTAGTCAATGAGAGATCTGGGATATAGTCCTAACTGTCCAGTGACCTTGACAGACAAGCATTCAATGTCTCAGTGTCTCAAAAACTAAAAGGAAAAGGTAGATCTGATCATCTTTAAGGTTCTTTTATACTCTAACCACTGTGATAACATTCACTTTGAACACAGATGATTTAGAAGTACTAAAATTAGTATTCCTGATTATATCTTAGTGATGTTCTCATGACATATTATTTAGAACAATGTACACACAAAGACATTAGTTAACTCCTCAGATAATCAGCCACAAGTGAATACATGGACTTACTGTAGTCCTCAGCAGCACCACTTCACAGTCCTTAATTGCAGCTCTAATACAGGTTGCCTTCACCCGCCACTCAGGCAGCCAATAGAGGAGGAGGAGGAGAAAGCCACCAGTGCAAACTACTCCTAGAGAAACTATGGCAAGCTTCCAGCGACACAAATTATAGCCATAAATCTCCTGCATGGACACAGTGATCACATGATTAAATATCAAATGAAATGAGAGAGAAATTGCAAAGTTCTTTGTTTTCCAGATGGTTGTTAGATCTTGTCACATAAACTGCACATTTTTTCCCAACCCCAAATTAATCTTTAAATTTTGTTTCTAACAAACTCATTGTCAAATTTATACTATTAAGTAATTAAATCTATTGATATTTACATGTTATGGTCTACATTTGATATTATGTTTAGTAACATAACATTTGCCCACTGACACAATATATTCATATTTAGCATATTTTCCTGTAACTTTTATAATTTCATTTTTACTTTTACCTCTTTAATTCTTCCAGAACTTATCTTGCTATGAGGCAGGGGCTTTTATTTTTTTAAATAAATGTTTAATTTCAGGATAATTTTAGATTTGCTTAAGTTAAAAAATATCAGAGTTCCTGTATACCTTTCATCCAGCTCACCCTAATGTTAAAAAGTTGGTACATTTTTCAAAATCAAGAGATTAACACTGGTACATTATTATTAACGAAGCCTCATCCTAAGATTTCCCACTGTTTTACTTCTAAAGTAGGATATAACCCAGAATACCACACTGCATTTAAATAAGGTAGGTTTTAACTTCATTTTTTTCCCCAAAATGATTAATTGTCCCACTATCACTACAACTGATCAACTTGATCTCCTGTCCCAAATGATTTCAACTGCTTCAGTTACTCCCAACCCTAACAAAGGTTGCCAAATAAAGCAAACGAAAATGCAGCAACCAGTTAAATTTAAATTTCAGACAAAAAATTAATATTTTTATTTGCCTCAGGCAATACTGGGACATGCTTATACAGAAAATTTATTCCCTGATTGTCTGAAATTCACATTTAACAGGGTGTCTTATATTTTACCTGACAATCCTATCTTCCCACAAACAAGAATTGAGAAGTCTTTTTTTTAATTAAGCTGATTTTAAACTTTTTTATTAAAGATCATAATTATAACTCATGTATTTGGGGTTATATTTAAACATTAGCTAACAGAACTACTTAAATTACCAAATGAAGAAAAATACTTCTTTCTCCTAAATTTTAACAATTCACAAGTGAGGCAGGAATCATACTAAAACTAACAAAGATGTTACATAATCCCAATTCAAAAACACAGAATTAGAAAACAATTGACTTAACTGTTTTTTAATGTACTTTTCTGCTTCCCCAGAATAAACTGCAGAGATTAATTCACACTTCACAAGTAAACTATAAAAACTGTTTACCATTTCATCTTCTTGACCCTGGTTGATAGTCTTCCTTTCTTCTCTGTCCATATCTACAGTGGTTTGAAAGGTCTTACACTTCCAGAACAGGTGAAGAATACTGAGGGAAGAAAAGAACAAATGTTAAGATATCATTTTGTATCTTAGTAGACTATGTAACTTCATTCGAACAGGTATCTTCTTGTGATACACATATCAAAGCTTAACTGATACCGAGTACTCACTATGGTGCTAGCTGGTTCTACTGACATTTTCAGTGGTGTTCCAGTTCTTGATCCCGCATTAACTGACTATCATAAAACTTGGTATATTTCATTAATTAGCTTATACTAGCAATAGCCTGGCTACAAAATTAAATTCTGAGAAAAACTACTATAGAATCTTTCTTTTTCATTCCCAAGACTTAGAGAACAGCTTTGTTTAACTATCATGATCTAAAAGTGCTTTTTACACGACTCAATTTATTGCTTGAAGTATAGTGAAGAGGTAAAGCACCAGCATTAGGTTTTAACTTCATTTTTTTCCCCAAAATGATTAATTGTCCCACTATCACTACAACTGATCAACTTGATCTCCTGTCCCAAATGATTTCAACTGCTTCAGTTACTCCCAACCCTAACAAAGGTTGCCAAATAAAGCAAACGAAAATGCAGCAACCAGTTAAATTTAAATTTCAGACAAAAAATTAATATTTTTATTTGCCTCAGGCAATACTGGGACATGCTTATACAGAAAATTTATTCCCTGATTGTCTGAAATTCACATTTAACAGGGTGTCTTATATTTTACCTGACAATCCTATCTTCCCACAAACAAGAATTGAGAAGTCTTTTTTTTAATTAAGCTGATTTTAAACTTTTTTATTAAAGATCATAATTATAACTCATGTATTTGGGGTTATATTTAAACATTAGCTAACAGAACTACTTAAATTACCAAATGAAGAAAAATACTTCTTTCTCCTAAATTTTAACAATTCACAAGTGAGGCAGGAATCATACTAAAACTAACAAAGATGTTACATAATCCCAATTCAAAAACACAGAATTAGAAAACAATTGACTTAACTGTTTTTTAATGTACTTTTCTGCTTCCCCAGAATAAACTGCAGAGATTAATTCACACTTCACAAGTAAACTATAAAAACTGTTTACCATTTCATCTTCTTGACCCTGGTTGATAGTCTTCCTTTCTTCTCTGTCCATATCTACAGTGGTTTGAAAGGTCTTACACTTCCAGAACAGGTGAAGAATACTGAGGGAAGAAAAGAACAAATGTTAAGATATCATTTTGTATCTTAGTAGACTATGTAACTTCATTCGAACAGGTATCTTCTTGTGATACACATATCAAAGCTTAACTGATACCGAGTACTCACTATGGTGCTAGCTGGTTCTACTGACATTTTCAGTGGTGTTCCAGTTCTTGATCCCGCATTAACTGACTATCATAAAACTTGGTATATTTCATTAATTAGCTTATACTAGCAATAGCCTGGCTACAAAATTAAATTCTGAGAAAAACTACTATAGAATCTTTCTTTTTCATTCCCAAGACTTAGAGAACAGCTTTGTTTAACTATCATGATCTAAAAGTGCTTTTTACACGACTCAATTTATTGCTTGAAGTATAGTGAAGAGGTAAAGCACCAGCAGTGAAACCAACCCAGAAACCTCTGGGGGGTTATTAATCACCCAATAAACATTCACTGAGCACCTATTACATGAATGGCAATCCCTGTTCAAGAGTAAATTCCTGTAGCAGATGTAACCTATAGGAGATCCCTCAACCAACTCCCCCATTCTGATTCCAAGACCACCAAGCAATCTTTCTGATTGTTTCTGACTATCCATGATGCTTCTGTAGTAGAAAATCCATGGAGCTCACTGTCAAATATTTTTCCTTGTATTAAAAAAAGAGATAAATTTCAAGTATAGGTTAGTCACACATTAAAGAGATTTGCAAAATGTAAAACAATGCCAATTTTGGGAGGGGTTGCAAAATAGGTATTTTTCAGAAAAATGTTACTTAGAATGTGAAAAGTTTATTACTATTATGCTTTATTAAATTATATTTTTAAAGATATTCCACTTTTAACTAATATGGTATCAATAGATACAACCCACATAAACAAAAGCTAATTAGAGTTCACAGTAATTTGATACTGTAAAGGGTCTGAGCCAAAGTTTGAAAGGCACTGCTTTAGACTAGACTGATCCATTGCAGAACTCAATGGTAATATTACCTCCCTCATTCTAGATACCACACCTCTACTCATCTATTCACTGTGTAGCACAGGCCTGATACATGGTAGGCACTCAAAAAATACTTGTTGAATGAATGATCCAATAAAGAATCTATGCTGAAATAGCAATAGCTATTTAATGTTCACATGGTATGAACTAATAGCCAAGTAAAACCAACTGCAGAATTTCAAACTAATCCTATATATAAGACTATAGATATCTTGATCCATATCATCAACAAAATAACCAATTAAAAATACTGATGCATACTGCATTAGCACTCAGAGCTTCTCTAACTTCCAGTAGCCCTGGAGATGGGGTCAGGGCTAACTAAGGAGTTTGATTACAATGTGTGTGTGTATACATATTTAGTACCATCTTGGAAATGAAGCCTAAGAGGTATCTGGTCCAATTTCTCCAAAACAAGCCACATTATCATACAAAACCCTTTAGGCAATGCAGTAACAATTTCTCAGTCTAGGGTAGTGTTCATCCCTGAAGCATACTACAAGAGTTGTTCCACCATGATAAAACTGATCCATCAAATCAATACAACTTGAGGTGGCAGTTATTCTAAAGGATCTTAACCTACTGCTATAAACTATGGGAAGAATGAGCAGGCCCAACCTTTTTCCCTGTAGGAAAGATAAGCTGTTGTTGCCTAAATGTATAAGGTAGAGACCAATCTTGCAACGTTTAAATATGAGCATGCCTACCTCCAAAGATAAAACAAAGGTACTCTGCCTTGACACTGTCCCCACTGAAGTATACCATTCTGGTGTTCTTATTAGTCTGTGGATCTTCCTTAAATTCTGGACTGAATCTCAGAATCGTTAACTCAGGATTCATTAGAGTCACTTTCAATAACCAAATACATATAATTCTGATCCCACCACATAAAATATAAAATATGCTTCTTGAGGGAAGGAACTACTTCAAATTTTATATAGAGAAACTTCTGCTTCCAAGCAAGAAGGAAAAACTGGGACCAGACTTGGCCTCCTTCCTAGAACAACAGCAAAAAACAAAATGGACAGAACATACAAAACAAAAGTTTTCAGGAAATGGGACATTAAGCAATGTAGGAAACTGATATACAGAGATGGGAAACAAACTAGGTGAGCTCTACATCTCCCAGTTTACAAACTGAAGAGTTTGCACATCACGAAAAAGGAAGGAAAAGGGCTAGGGGTGCGGCATTTGGGGATAAGGGGGACATCAGTCTCCCTGAGTTGGGGAGATGAAGCAGGGAGTCTGAGGAGGTACCAAAATGTCCAGGTTTGCAGGGCAGATTACCACAGGAGAGATCTATACAGAGAACTAACACTGAAAATCTGCAAGACAGTTCCTCTAAAGTCTTAAATTGAGTATATTGATCAGTGCTTAATTGTGAGAAACTACTAGAAGCCAGGAAAAGAAGGCTTTAAAGGATTAAGGGGGAGGAACTCACACGGGGCTGGGAAGAGTGCCTTTTACCACCAACCACAGTAGAAAACCTCACTGGTCATAAGGAATAGGAGAGTATTCAGCAGTGAGACCAAATTAGCCCTAAACTAAAAGCTACTCTGGTCCTGACTAACAGAGCTTTTAAGCACTGAAAGAATAAACTGTTTCCAAGTAACTTAACTTCACAAAATAAAGTCCAAAGTGAATTAGAGGAATACAAAATATCTAGTACCAATAAGTCACAATGTCTGACATCCAATTAAAGCTTAGCAGTAAGCAAAGAAGCAGAAAATACTACCCACCATGAGAAAAATGAATCAGCAGAAAGGGACACAGAACTGACACAGATAGAACTGGTAGTAGACAAGGACATTAAAACAGCTGTTTTAACTATAGTCGATATGTTCAAAAAAAAAAGAGGAAAGATTGAACATGTTAAGCAGAGACATGAAAGACATAAAACAGAAGCAAGTTGAATGTAAGATAAAAAGTACAATGTCAAAGGTGGAAAATATACTAGATGGGATTAACAGCAGATTGAATATTGCATAAGAAAAATAAATTAATTTGAAGATACAGTAATAGAATATCCAAAATGAAAAAGGGGAGAAAAAAGACTAGGGAAAACAAACACATACATCAGTAAGCTGTGAGACAACTTCAGGCACCCTAATATACAGTAGGGTAAAAGGGATCAAAATATATAATGATATAGTAGCCAAAATTTTCCAAATTAGATGAAAAATCATAAGCCCACAGATTCACAAAGTCCAACTAATACTAAGCAAAGGAACATTAAGAAATGACACCAAGGCTTGTTATCATCATCTAACTGCTCAAATTCAGGGATTATTAAAGAGTCTTAAAAGGAGCCAGAGGGGAAAAAACATGTTATAAAGGTGAAAAGACAGCAGAGCAACATCTTTGAAATACAGTTGACCCTTGAACTGTGCAAGGGTTAGGGACTACAACCCTCCCTGTGTAGTCAAAAATTCACATATAACTTTTGACTCCCCCAAAACTTAACTACTAATACCCTACTGTTGACCAGAAACTTTACCAGTAACATAAACAGTTGATTAACACATATTTTGTACATTACATGTAACGTATTCTTATAATAAAATGGGCTATAAAAAAATGTTTTTGCAAATTGCTGCAAATCTCCAATAGTCTTCTAATATATTTACTGAAAAATCCATATATAACTGGACCCACAAGTTCAAATCTGTGTTATTCAAGAGTTAATTGTACTGAGAAAAAGAAACTACTCAAGAGAATTCTATAGCCAGCAAAAATGTCTTCCAAAAATCAAAAGTGAAAAAAGATATTTTTAGATACAAAAGTCTAAAAAAAATTCATCAGCAATAAACCTACACTATAAATAAATATTAAAGAACGTCTTCAGGCAAAGGAGAAAAATAAAAGATAACTGATGGAAATATGAATCTCCACAAAGGAACTAAGTACACCAGAAGTGGTAACTATGCAGGTAAATATACATAACAAGAGCACAAAATAAACAGGGAGAAACAGAAGTATGCTCTTATAAGGTTCTTTTTTTCAATAAGGTTCTTATACTATACAGAAAGTAGTTAAATTTCACTTGAAGGTAAACTGTAGTAAGTTAGAAACTATACTATAAACTCTAAGGAAACCATTAAAATAAAACTCGCAGCTAAAAAATAAACAAAGGTGATTAAATGGAACCATAAAAAATACTCAATTGATATAACTGACAAAAAAAGGAAGAAAGAGGAAAAGATGAGACAAATAGAAAACAAATAAAATGATGGTTGATTTAAGCCTAACAACATCAATCATCACATTAAATACAAATGACCTAAACAGCAACTAAAAGGCAGAGACTGTGGTTATGGTTTTAAAAAGCAAAACTATAGGCAAATATATGTTGCCTACATGAAATGAAACATATATAAAGGCACAAGTAGGTTAAAAGTAAAACAAAAGTATATCATGTAAACACTATTCAAAATAGAGCTGGAGTGATGTATTAATATCAGACAAAGTAGATGTCAAAGAAAAGACTATTAATAGGGATAAAGCCATTTGATAATGACAAAGGGCTCAATTCATCAAGATAAAAAAAATCTTAAATAGGTATACATTTAACAGACTAAAATACATGAAGCAGAAACTGAGAAAATGCAAAGACAGAGAAAGTCACAAAATTATTGTTGGAGATTTCATTTCAATATCACTCTCAATAAATGACAGAAGTAGATTTAAAAATACCAGTTAGGACACAGAAGATCTGAACATTACAAATTAAATGGCCCCAATTGTTATTTACAGAACACTATTCTCAACTACAGCAAAATACACATTTTTTAAACATGTACACAAAACATTTACAAAGAAAGCCCACTTTCTTGCACATACAAAAAGTCAAGTCATACTTGTTATATGTTATGACATACAATGTATGTTCAGAACAGACAAGTATGTTCTGAAAACAATGTAATTAAATTAGAAATCAGTAAAACAGAAAGGTAAGTAGAAAAGCCTTAACATGTGGCAACAAAATAAAACACTTCTTAAAAATCTGTAAGTCTAAGAATACAGGAAGAATATAAAAGTATTTTCAAATAAATAAAATGAAGATATCAAATTTTGTGGGATGCCACTAAAACAGTACTTAGAAAATTTATAACACTAAATTCTAGTATCTGAAGAAAAGTCTGAAATCATAGCCTCAGCTTCTTCCTTAAGAAAGTATAAAAAGAACAGCAAATTATATCTAGAGTAAGTACTAAAGGGAAATAATAAAATTCAGAAATCAATGAAATAAAAAACAGAAAAATAGAGAAAAACCAATGAAATCAAAAGCTGGTTCTTTGAGATCAATAAAATTGATCACTTCTAGTTAGACACAAACAGAAGGGGGCAGACACAAATTACCAGGATCAGGAGTAAAAGAGGAGACATCACTACAGATTCTACAGATTATCAGAAGGATAATCTGGAACTTAACAAATAATTCTATACTAACACAGCAACTTACCTGAAAGTCTGAACTTACTTTAAAATAAAATATTTAAAAATATTAAAACCTATCTTTATCAGTCAGGGAATGGCCATGAGTTAGTAATTGCTAAAGCTGAATTTTAAGCGGAATGACAGGTACATGAGAATTCATTATGCTAATCTATTTTTTAGCATGCAGAAATTGTACATAATAGTAAAATAAAAGCCACCCACCTGAAGCTTTTAGATAGAAGAAACTTTCAGAAGATAGTTCATTCCTGGCACCAAAACTCATAAATCATGAGAACTTTGCCTCTTTAAGTCCCAAATCCACTGATTCAACCTATTATGTACCCGGTATTATCCATAAACTCTTAAAACTGGATTTTGACTCTAACTCTTCTTCATTCTTGCCTTTCATCCATTGCCTAAAAATATAGATGTACTACCTTCCTCACTTTTGTAAATCCTAATTTTTCTATGCAAAATGTATTAGATAAATAAGCATGCTTTTTATAGTTTTAGAACAAGAATTACCATTAAAATTCAATGTTTTCACTAAATCCATGTACTTATAACTATTTAAAACCTTTTCCCCAAACATCTCTTGACAGGTTCACCACAGTTTAACAAAACTAACTTTCTCATCTCATCTTCTGCTGTTAAAAACTGACCATTGCAAAACAAAATCACTCTGATTCATTTTTAAATGAGCTACCATACATGGTGCACTGCCTTTAGCAATCTATTTTCATACTTTTCTAAATATAATTCTTGACCATATTATCTCTTTTTGCAAGTGTTATTTCTCCAAAATTTCACTTATTTTTTAAGGCAAAATTCTTAAATCTTACAAAATTTTACGAAAGCTGAAATATTAATAATTTATATAAAAAGGTGCTCTAAGAAACACCAATTACTATTCTCTTTAAACATATTTTACCACACAGGAAATTACCAACAATTCATCTTTCACATAAACTTTTTAGTAAAACCCAATGAGACAATTGCAACAGCTTACACATTTAAAACATATACATATTATAAACGTGTATTTAATTTTTTTTAAAGTACATAAATAGGAAGCCCTTAATAGTTCTATGACTCCATGAAGATTAAAAATCTAAACATATTTTTAAATGTTTATCAAGATGAAAATATATATTAAATATTATTCTGCCATATATCTAATTAGATATTTGAAGCATTAATATCAAATTTCTAAAATCTATTTAACCTACAGAAGTAAAACTTCTGTGATTTGCTGAAGTGCATGTTTTTTTATCAAGTCAATTTCTAGATCATAGAAAACAAATAAAAGTTTTTTTTCTTACCAAAAACACTATATCATCATTCCTCCCAATTGCTGATATATTAGCAGCGCTTTCAAAAGTTGTCTCTTAACAATAAAAACAAAATAAAACTAAGCATAAAAATCCATTCAAATGCGAACTATCTGCCAAATACTTGTTTTGGTTCTTTCTGAACTGCTTTAAAAATGATTAAGACATTAAAATTTAGGATTTTTTAATTCACTGATTTTAAATGTTTTCAGAAGATACACCCCCTCCCATCTGATTGCCACTAGTAGAGCTCTTCTTACTTGAACAAATCCTATCTAGTTAGCACACTGAAGTCCCATCCCACAGGGCACGCCTGAGCCTTTGTTATCTAAATAGCCAGGAGCTTATAGGCTATTGTGCTTAACCAAACCCTTCCTTTCATTTACAATGAACTTTGTATTTTGTAAAAAAAACAAAAAAAAAATGTAAAACAGCAGCACAAGACAAAGTGGAGGTATCAGGAACAAATCTCACTAAACCTAATGCTAATATCTGAAATTTACTTTTTTCCCCCACATTATATAATTACAAAAACCATTTAAAGTATAGTCTTTAATCTAGGATGAGAGTCATATCTAATATCAAGATGAGTTGGCATTAACAGGCAAAGAAATCCCCAATCCTCCAAGCCATCTTTGCTTTACACCTTAATTTCTCATTAGCTGTAACAATAGTATTGTAACAGAATGTGTACGGAGGGTATTGTTTCAAGATATTCTATATGCATGTGCCTAGAATTTCAAAATAAGCAATTTCACAAGGTGATTTAAATAATGATCTGTAACTCAAATAGAACTTCAAGCCAAGCAATTTTGAATAATAAATTTACTTCAATTTTTCCTTCAGTCAGGCTTTGCCAACTTCAGAGTTCTGAAGTTAAAAACTAAAATTAAAAACACATTATTCAAAATTTATGAAACTAAGTTAATATAAAATAAATTCTCAATGACATTTTTTATGTTTGTCACATACACTTCTGGAGTTTTAAAAATCAAAATTGCACTGACTTCTGGGCCGCCTTGTATTGCTGAAAGGCTGAACGAATCATCCCATTTTGTTTTGCAGTTCTAGATTTTTTTTCTGAGAATTAAACATACTCATGTTAAATAAAGATCTGATGATACCCATCTTTAAGGACCACTCAGCAACAGGATTTTTAAGACTGAAATATAAACAGCACAGCCAGCATTCTAAATACTTCAGTGTCATATCTGTGGTACTTAGGAGCATCAAAAATGACCTTGTGCAATTCAAAAGCAGTTCTACCTTTACAACTGAAATAAAAGGTTCCCTAATACATGGAAAATCTTAACTCACCAAACAACCTCTACTTTATATACAAATGTTTATGTAAAAAGAATGAAAAAAATCCCTATCTCCCAAATAGAGTAACCAAATTGTGACAACTCTTTATGAGGGCAAAACTTAACACTTCAAGTCTGCTTCTAACAATAAGAATGACATAATATAATTTAATGAATACATGGAAATTTTACAAGGATACCAGTTAAATTTTAACAAAGCTCTACTCAATACCCATTTTATCACTTCCCATCTTGAACTTTCTCTTATAATACATGCTTTTGTTTCTGTGTTTAGGTTTAAGGAAGACCATTGTATCCAACATACACCAAACTAAAACTGTATTTACATTTGTAAAGTGCAGTTTTTGTACAATTATACTTTTTTGTATATTAGAAAACAATGTGGTGGCTGTAACAAAGTAAGTTATAATTAGTAAAGATTATGTAATTGTCTCAGGATTAATATTAAGAACATTAAAAGTTACAACTTAGGCTGTACTATAACACACTTGCATATATTTTTCATCACTTTTCTGACATACACTATTTAAATAAAGAAACTAACCCTTTTAACCTGAGAAAATCTCTGTGGTAAGTATCATTACGTAAAAAAGTAGCTTTGAGTATTATAGTCAATTGTATAGTACTTAATAGTAAAAAATGGGAAAAGGTACCTTTGGACTGACAAATGGTATCTGTTTTATTTCCTCTTGATAAATTGTAAGTATGTACAAAATCATTTATATAAAACATAACAGTTTGCATGTTTTCAATGTCTAATTTTGTGAATGATTTATTTAATTTATTCAAGCTACTTTGACCTTAAACTCTTATACTTCCCCTTAAATCTTCACATATATGACTTTGCAAAACTCCATGTTTAAGGACCAAGAACTATGAAAGTGTTGTAATTGCTACATTGACTTCAAAATCCTATAATCTATTATGAAAAATACAGCAGCAAGCAATAGGAAATAGTAGACAGAATCACTATGGTAAGAGCAGCCCTACAAACTGAATATTCAAAACTGGCAGAACCAAAACAGCCTAGAAAGAAACGTGGCACCCTACTCCTAAGATAATCAAAAGCCAAATATATCAGTAAATTGGAGACAGTGGCTACTAATGGTGACAGTATGTTTGGGTGGGAGTGAGGGAAAGACTTTAGTGCTTTCTGAATGCTTTTACCATCAAGTGCAAGAATATTTTTAAGTAGTTAAAGAAAAAAAGTTAAGAGCTGAATGGGTGTGGTACACTTCTAATTCTATAATGCACCTCCAACCTTGGGTAAGAACTTGCAGGAGGCTTCAAAGCACTTCATGGTGCTCTACTAGACCAATTCTCCAGATTCTCTGGATCTCAGTCTTACTTAAGTTATTTTTACCCCAGGCAAGATAAAATGGTCCTTTTGAGGGCTCCTTTAACAAGTACATTTCCAGTAAGCTACAGTTGACTATATTTATTTTTATATCCTTTCCTCATTTTATCTACACTGAGGAAAAGTACTAGCCAGAGACACAGCATAAGTAGCAACAAATTCTAAATTATCTTATCAAACTAATTCATCGATAAGCATTAAATGAACATATATGTCATGTCCATTATTGTATCAAGAATAGTAGGAAATAGGCATTTTTACCTCAAAATAGAAAAAGCAAATGAAAAGAGCAGAGAACTCAAGAGTCAGCTTTAACTTGTCCTTGTGTGACAATTAATTCAACATGAACTGTTTTGCAAGTCCATTCACCTGTCTTGGTTTCAACTTCACTAAACTGAGGCAGGTGTAGTCATTCATATGATACATTCCAACAGTGAAGGTTTCTGACCTACCCAAGGATGGCCTTTGTAAAAAGCCTGCTGTTGCACACTGTCACCACCAGGTGACGTTCCAACATTAGTAAGGAAAGGGGCTGAGTTTTCCACAGGCTTTGATACAGCAGCAGCTTATAGAGTGATGGATCACAGGATGAGAAATTATATAAGGTTGTTGTTGTTTTAGTTACGCTGGAGATACTAATACAGGAAAATAGGAATTGCCTATATAATAGCACTCTGTTTCATATGTCTCAATGGGTAAATTAAAGCATGCAATAAACACAAACAAATGATAATGATAATAATGGGGTGAGGGGAAAGGGAGGAATATTATTATCCTATTTATAATAAAGATTATTCTTAAATTCACAACTGTCTGAAACCAAAATTTAGGTATCTGTTGTGGAGCAGAAGGGAGAACAATAACAAAGAGCACAGGAACCTAACAAGATGATCAAGTAAAGTATAAAATCATGTCGTAAAACATTAAACTGGCGGGGGTGGAGGGGAGAAAAAAGACAAGGAGCATTAAAAAAAGGACAACAGCATGCATTGCTATTAAGAGTGAATCTGTATTACCTTTTTGGAAAACCAAGTCACAATATATTAAAATGTAAAATCCCTGTGTACTCTGACCCAAAAATCCTACTAGAAATCCATGTCATATGTACCTGCCTATACATATGTTACCATTAAGTTTCTTCAAGTTCCTCTACATTGTTAGACTTAGGAAATACAGTATAAAAGTTTTGTGCTTTTTTTCCTTTCGGGGTGGATACTTACAAACAAAACACCTAGTAGAAATAAGTATTTTTAAAACAAGTACCAAAAAAAATTGTGTGGCATGGGCATTTAATACATTAGAAATTAACAAATCAAGAGTTCTAATATAGTAACAGGTTGTATAAACAAACCAAATTGATAAATGAGCCTAATTCTCCAAATTAAAAGATACACATTTAAGTTCAGAGGTAAGGTTAAGGGTTTTCGTTAGTGTATGAATGAATGTTTCTTCCATTTTAATGCAAGTTAGTGACTATTTATTTCTTCTAACCCATAATGCTATTAATCCAAATCCCTAACAACTTGTTTGACATTTCAAACAATTTAAAATACAGTCTTTGAAATTTATACATTCATTAATTCTAAGACCATATCTTTCCACATTTTTTCATAGCTAAAATCAAGATGCAGTTTAGATAAAATCTTATTGTTGCTGCTGGCAGGTAACTGGCATGATGCAGTGGTTACTGGGAGTACATGCCCCAAGTTGGTCTGAACTGTTCCTGGCAGTTGACCTTTGATCAACATGAGGGTTGGGAGCTCTAAGCTCCTGCACATAAAAATCCACATAAAACTTTTGACTCCCCAAAAACTTTACTAATAGTCTGTTGACCAGCAGCTGTACTAGTAACACAAACAACACATACTTTATATGTTATATTACATACCGTAGTCAAAAAGAGAATGCTTTTTTGAACTGTGGCATATCTCCAAAAAATTTTCCAATATATTGAAAAAAATGCATATATGAGCAGACCCATGCAGTTTGAACCCATTTTGTTCAAGGGTCAACTGTACTGTTGCTTCACTCAAGTAAAGTGCACTGTTGATAGTAAGATGGTGAGTTTAACCTGTTTACATATTCAAAAAGATGACACTGCAGTTGCACACTGAGATGCAAAGTAACAATGTGCACAGACAGGCACCAAGACAGAGCAGCAGAGTGGGAAGGAAGGGCTAGGATGAGAAGGGAATAGGATAGAGAAGAAAAATAGAGGGAAGAACAAATGAAAATGTGCCACAGAATTTTACTTCTAAGTATTCAGTAGTGTGTTAAGAAGTTTTACATAGACCCCAGAGATGTTTGTTTTTCTTATTAACAGCAAACCCCAAAATAATTTTTCTTCATTGACTCACCATGATTCCCTTCAGGACTATTGTATTATGTTTGAAGAAAGCAAAATTAGTTTTACTCATCATCTATCTTACAGTATGGTTCACACTTCATTCTTCTAGACATTATGAAGACCCAACCACAAAGAAGCACAAGATCACTATATATTCCGTACAAAAAGTACAATCCTGCTAATTTACAACTATAACTGATAGGCATTTGGATCACCTTTTAAAATTACATGTGTCTTTTTCCACTTTACTCCTTTCTCCCAATTTGAAACTACCCATGTTGATTCAGGATAGAAAGTAAGTACAAAACCCTTTCAAAAAGTATTTTAAAAACACAGCTCTTTAAATGGCTGTTAGGGAGGATAATGGTCTTACTCCTGGTACAACCATCACAGAAATCTGAACTTTCTCCTTTCTTGTGGTCATGCTGTACCCACTATACAGGATTAAAAAAGAAAATTAACTTGTTTAAGTATTGTGCCAACCACAATTAATAGTAACTGACATTTGTACAGGGATTCTTAGTTTACAGAACACTTTTACAGGTATTATCTAATTTACTTACCTGTTCTCAATCAATATTGTCTTTTAAAAACAGGAAAAAATAATCATTTTCACTTAACCAAGATTAGCATTTTTCACTTTCTCTGGAAAGTCAAGCATGGGGAGACTTTATATCAAAACACCTTACCAACAAATTATGGAATGATATGCAGATGGCACCATCTTTCAAGGGTCCATTATCCAAAAAGTCATTTGAATGCCAAGTATACTGGAAACACATTCTTTCATAAGGAAAATAGTTACTGGGTTTCTAAGTGGCCCACAAATGACTTTTTTACCTTCCACAATTCTAAATTACATTTACTTCATATTATGCTAGACTGGGTTGTGGGGAAGGTAGCCAGGTAACCAAGCTTCTACTTCCTCTGCCCACTTCTGAATTATTAATACTCTCCAGGCTCCTAAGAAACAAACAAATCCTACCATTTGCAACAACATGGATGGAGCTAGAGGGTATTATGCTCCATGAAATAAGTCAGGAAGATAAAGACAAATACCAAATGATTCGCCTCATTTGTGGAGTATAACAACTAAGCAAAACTGAAGGAACAAAAACAGCAGCAGACTCACAGACTCCAAGAAGGGACTAGCAGTTACCAAAGGGGAGGATTGGGGAAGGAAGGGTGAGAAGGGAGAGAAAAGGCAATTGAGAGGCATTATGATTAGTACACACAGTGTAGGGGGGATTATGGGGAAGACAGTGTAGCACAGAAAAGACAAGTAGTGACTCTGTGGCATCTTACTACACTGATGGACACTGACTGCAATGGCATATGGGGGGGACATGATAACATGGGTGAATGCAGTAACCACATTGTTTTTCATGTGAAACCTTCATTAAGAGTGTATATCAATGATACCTTAATAAAAAAAAAGTCCCATCCTTGTTCTGAAACAAACAAAAAAAACCACATAACTAGCATTCTGGCTGAACCTACAGTACACTAACAGCTCCCACTGCAACATTCTTGGGTGCTGACTCTCCTTTATCCTTGTAGTGAATGAATAAAAGGCATGGCCCGGCTGCATTCAGGGCTCAGCCTTTGGCTATAAATCCCTGAGTCAGTGCTAGCACTAATAAACTGCTTCTCGCCAAAAAAAAAGAGTGGCATGACCCGCACATCTACAGTAACAACTACCAATTAGTATTTTGAGCACTCATCTCTTCACAAGCTCCAGACCCATATTCAAATATGTACTATATATGCACATATTATCTTTTTTTTTCAAAAAACCTGCCCCCTCAACCACTGCCAATTCCCTCTACTCCTTTAATGAATGTATCTGCCTTAAAACCCATGCCAAGAATTTGAAATTCACCCTAGATTCCTTGCAATCTCTTTTACATCCAACTGGATACTACGTATTACCATTTTTACCTCTCTCAAATCTACCTCACCATGCCTTATCTCCACTGGCACTGTGTCAACTCAGGTCCTGATCCCCTCTCTAGTTTCCCTCATTCAAATCATTAAACAAACCAGATATGATCATTTCTCTCTCTGCTTAAAATGTCAATAACTTGCCATTGTCTGCAGCAGCATTTCCCAAACTGATATAAAAATCCCTCCAAAATAAAATTTTTAAAAATTGAAGAAAATACAAGATTAAACAAAGTCAAGCAGTTCTAGTAACTAGCAAGACTCTCAAAAGTCTTACAGTGCATAGTACCATCTTTTTCCCTACTTGGGGAATTGGGGCAGAGAGGCCCAACTGAACTCCATTGACAAAGTTACAATGAACTGGAAGACAGTGTAAAATCCTGCAGAATCTGGCTACTTGTCAACAACATCTGTCATTCACCAATGGTTATCATTCACCTCTCACAAACCTTACATCCCATCTATTTACAACACAATCTGTAGTTGCTCAAAGAGTACTTTTCCTGATTCCATTCCATTATATATTGTTCTTTCCACCAAAAACACCCTTCCGTAACTCGGTCTCACTAAAGAAATCCTACTAATCCATCTAGACTCTGGCCAACTATCTTCTCTACTAAGCTTTGATTGCTCCTTCCACCTCTCAGCAGAGGACTTCTCCCACCTTTGTCCCTCTGCATGTGTCACAGCACTTATCCCACAATACTGAATGTCCAGACTGAAAATCTTAAAGGTTGGGAACCAGGCAAAGCTGAAAGAATGAGACAGGGCAAGCGTGGTGCAGGGTGGGAATGGGAGGGTGGGGGAGTGGGGAGGATGGAAGTGAAGAAGTAATAAAATCCTTTCTGTCTTTCTAGGCAAAATTTCACAACAAAGTCAATTTTAGCTTTGGTATGTTCACACATCTCACCCCTGTGCCCCCTTCCCGGCTCTCCCAACACCCTCTTTCCCAGGTCCCTTAGCGACTTCATTTAATCCTACAACTCCCACCACTGCAGTATGTTCTTCAGAATCTACTACTTCCTCTTCTCCTTAAGAGTTATTCTGCTCAGAAGTTAATACATAAATGAGTTATAGCTTCTCAAAGCTGACAAATCTAATATAAATCTCTAAGTAACAACACATAAGTAAGCATGGAGGAGATGTGGGGAGCAGCGCTGCAATTCTGCCACTCAGAAGCTAGCCCTTGGAAGAGCCTGCGAGTCTTCCTGAGTGGGCTTCCCTGAAGTGTTCCCACTTCTTCACCTCATCTGCTCCTACGCAGCAGTGGGAACTCCTGGCAGAGACAGAGATTGAACTGGTACTACTGCAATTTATGAATCACCCATTCTTCCTGAATTGAAAAGCTTTGTTTTAGAGACCATTTTCATGATTACAGACAGAAAGTCTTACCAACACGTTCACCAGTGCATTTAAAGCAGTTCCTTCAATCTAGCCCTAAAGTATCTTGAAATCTAACCCAAACCTTTGCTTAACTTAGGAGAAAAGCCAATTAATTGAGAAAACTGAAAGTTGCCAAAATATCCTATTTCTAAATAAATCTTTGGATATTAAATTAGCATTCTAGCCAGAATGATTATGACTTTAGCATTCTGGCTGAACCTACAGTACACTAACAGCTCCCACTGCAACATTCTTGGGTGCTGACTCTCCTTTATCCTTGTAGTGAATGAATAAAAGGCATGGCCCGGCTGCATTCAGGGCTCAGCCTTTGGCTATAAATCCCTGAGTCAGTGCTAGCACTAATAAACTGCTTCTCGCCAAAAAAAAAGAGTGGCATGACCCGCACATCTACAGTAACAACTACCAATTAGTATTTTGAGCACTCATCTCTTCACAAGCTCCAGACCCATATTCAAATATGTACTATATATGCACATATTATCTTTTTTTTTCAAAAAACCTGCCCCCTCAACCACTGCCAATTCCCTCTACTCCTTTAATGAATGTATCTGCCTTAAAACCCATGCCAAGAATTTGAAATTCACCCTAGATTCCTTGCAATCTCTTTTACATCCAACTGGATACTACGTATTACCATTTTTACCTCTCTCAAATCTACCTCACCATGCCTTATCTCCACTGGCACTGTGTCAACTCAGGTCCTGATCCCCTCTCTAGTTTCCCTCATTCAAATCATTAAACAAACCAGATATGATCATTTCTCTCTCTGCTTAAAATGTCAATAACTTGCCATTGTCTGCAGCAGCATTTCCCAAACTGATATAAAAATCCCTCCAAAATAAAATTTTTAAAAATTGAAGAAAATACAAGATTAAACAAAGTCAAGCAGTTCTAGTAACTAGCAAGACTCTCAAAAGTCTTACAGTGCATAGTACCATCTTTTTCCCTACTTGGGGAATTGGGGCAGAGAGGCCCAACTGAACTCCATTGACAAAGTTACAATGAACTGGAAGACAGTGTAAAATCCTGCAGAATCTGGCTACTTGTCAACAACATCTGTCATTCACCAATGGTTATCATTCACCTCTCACAAACCTTACATCCCATCTATTTACAACACAATCTGTAGTTGCTCAAAGAGTACTTTTCCTGATTCCATTCCATTATATATTGTTCTTTCCACCAAAAACACCCTTCCGTAACTCGGTCTCACTAAAGAAATCCTACTAATCCATCTAGACTCTGGCCAACTATCTTCTCTACTAAGCTTTGATTGCTCCTTCCACCTCTCAGCAGAGGACTTCTCCCACCTTTGTCCCTCTGCATGTGTCACAGCACTTATCCCACAATACTGAATGTCCAGACTGAAAATCTTAAAGGTTGGGAACCAGGCAAAGCTGAAAGAATGAGACAGGGCAAGCGTGGTGCAGGGTGGGAATGGGAGGGTGGGGGAGTGGGGAGGATGGAAGTGAAGAAGTAATAAAATCCTTTCTGTCTTTCTAGGCAAAATTTCACAACAAAGTCAATTTTAGCTTTGGTATGTTCACACATCTCACCCCTGTGCCCCCTTCCCGGCTCTCCCAACACCCTCTTTCCCAGGTCCCTTAGCGACTTCATTTAATCCTACAACTCCCACCACTGCAGTATGTTCTTCAGAATCTACTACTTCCTCTTCTCCTTAAGAGTTATTCTGCTCAGAAGTTAATACATAAATGAGTTATAGCTTCTCAAAGCTGACAAATCTAATATAAATCTCTAAGTAACAACACATAAGTAAGCATGGAGGAGATGTGGGGAGCAGCGCTGCAATTCTGCCACTCAGAAGCTAGCCCTTGGAAGAGCCTGCGAGTCTTCCTGAGTGGGCTTCCCTGAAGTGTTCCCACTTCTTCACCTCATCTGCTCCTACGCAGCAGTGGGAACTCCTGGCAGAGACAGAGATTGAACTGGTACTACTGCAATTTATGAATCACCCATTCTTCCTGAATTGAAAAGCTTTGTTTTAGAGACCATTTTCATGATTACAGACAGAAAGTCTTACCAACACGTTCACCAGTGCATTTAAAGCAGTTCCTTCAATCTAGCCCTACAGTATCTTGAAATCTAACCCAAACCTTTGCTTAACTTAGGAGAAAAGCCAATTAATTGAGAAAACTGAAAGTTGCCAAAATATCCTATTTCTAAATAAATCTTTGGATATTAAATTAGCATTCTAGCCAGAATGATTATGACTCATCACCACTTCTGATTTCTCAAAAAGTCATTTGTCAGAATGTCATTGTCTGCATGTGCCAAATACTGTGCTAAATGCTGGAGATTACAAAGATCAAATTTCTAACCTCAAGGAGCCAATCTAGTGGTAAATACATATCAAACAAAATGGCTGAATGCTGCAATAAAGTAGGTATCATGGCAGCAGGGAGAGGAACAGGAAAAGAGGAGCATAAAGGACAGAAAAAATTTAAGAGAAACTATCATTTGATCTAAGTCCTGAAGGGTATGAAGTTCATCAAGCAAAGAGGCAGTAAGAAAAAGGGGAAAATAATAGATAGAATACAAGCAGAAAAATACCATAGGTAAAAGCACAAAGGTAAGAAATTCTAGAAAATGTCAGGAATACAAATTACTTAAACTGGATGGAGCACAGGGTA